TTGTCATTTTATACTTCGATCTATTCACAAATTCCAAGACTTTTTCAAACAATGACGGAATCAGGATTGCTCCAAGTATTGTACAATAATTCGATTAAGGCGGAACTCAAAATTGTGATGAATACTACGAAAAGGATCATAGCGAAGGATTCGGGAAAAGTTGGAGAAGATGCGGGTAAATTTAAGCCGCAGAAGCTGAAGACCAGTTTTATGACCGTGTTCGTACTTACGGGGGTGTTGATTGGTTCAGGAAGTGTTTTTTTTGTATCTGAACATATAAAAAGGACTTGGAAACAGTTGGTTGACGGGTCGTTTTACTGGATAAAAACTATCGAAGACAAAGCTATACAGTTTGCGAGGTGGACGATTAACAAGGATTGGCTATTGGAATAGTGAATATCTAATTTATAATTTCGAAAAGTCCGTCCCGTTAAATTTTCCGTGACATTCCAGCATTCTGATTGGCTGTTGGGATTCTAGGTCCACCAATTAGAGCACGGATTATGGTTATGGTTATGGTTATAGTTATGGTTATGGTTATGACTATGGTTAAAAAAATTCCTTAGGAACCTTAAAAAAATTCCTTAGCAACCTTAAAAAAATTCCTTAGCAACATTAAAAAAATTCCGTAGCAACCTTAAAAAAATTCCTTAGCAGCAATAAAAAAATTCCTTAGCAACGTTAGAAAAATTCCTTAGCAACCTTAAAAAAATTCCTTAGCAACCTTAAAAAAATTCCTTAGCAACGTTAGAAAAATTCCTTAGCAACATTTAAAAAATTCCTTAGCAACCTTAAAAAAATTCCTTAGCAACATTAAAAACAAATAACCTCCAGTGCAGCCTTCATATAGCCCGAGTCAGGGATAGGATCCGTTCGTTACCGTGTCCGACTTCTCCGAGCAACTATTACCACCCCCGTGGTGGGGCTGGTGCAATGTTGTATTACTTAGCACTAAATGTGTAAAGTTATTTGCAAATCCTTCACCTTGCCTACAAGGACCAGTTGGGGTCGCTTCGTCCAAATTTACAAGTTACAAATTTGTAGTTGCTCCATAGAAGTCATTTTTAGCCGCTGTGCCAAATTTCAGCTGCAACTAATATCTTTCAAAAACCCTTATGGGTCACCCGGAAGGGTCTCTCTGGAGACACCATGCTCGCTTTTAACCTTATATTCGTTCGCAAGAAGCCCTTGAGTATCAATGTACCGAATTTCATCTTTTTAAGACAACTTCTGAAAATCAGTAAGGGTCATGCGATAGGGTCCCTATGCATAACAACTTTCCCAATTTCACTTCACATTTTTGCATTAGAGGCCATTAGCAACATCTATGCCAAATTTCGGCTCGATTGTACGATTTTGAAAAATCGGTATGGGTCACCCGCTAGGGTGACTCCGGTTAAAACTTTTTTCAAATTTGACTTCATATTCTTTCATTAGGAGCCATTAACAACCTCTGTACCAAATTTCAGCTTTCTGCGACAATTTTGAAATTTTGGTGCATAATACCCCACCCACCCAGACGACCCCCACTGGTCCAAATATTTTTTGATCGAACCCATGTTCGAACTAGGTCGTTGCATTGCCGAGATACATGTTTCTGCCAAATTTCATCCAAATCGGTCAACTCGTTCTTGAGTAATCGTTAGTCGGACAGACAGACAGACAGACAGACAGACAGACATGATGATTACATAAGCCCTGTCTCGGGCTAAAAAATTCCTTAGCAACGTGAAAAAAAGTCGCTAGCAACACTAAAAAATTTATTTAGCAACGTAAACAAAATTGCCTGGCAACATTTAAAAATTTCCTGAGCAACGTGAAAAATAGCCTGGCAACGTTAAAAAATTCCCTTACCAATGTGGAAAAAAATCCCTAGTAACGTTAAAAATTTCCTTAGCAACATGAAAAAAATTGCCTGGCAACATAAAAAATTTCTGTAGCAACGCCTCAGTATGCCTTAAATGCCTTAGTATCCTTTTAAAAAACTCCTTAACAACAGTTAAAAAATTTATCAAACAAAGCTACTACTGTTTTAGCTACATTATTCTTGCACTTATTTACTTAATAAGCCAATCCAAAATGCGGCCCGTCTGTAAGACGGGCTTCTAGGGTAGTTTAGATATAATTCAGTAATAGTAAAATACTAGGTATACCTGTAAAAAAATCATTTTATTGAAAATTTTCTATTGTCATTTTATATTAAAATTAAAATTTATATAAATTTATTTCAATTTATTTAAATTTATATTGTCATTTTCTTTCATATTCATTTAATTTAATTTCACTTCATTTGGCTTCATTTCATACTTCACCCCATGTTTTGGCAAAAAATATCGTCACCATATTTACATCGGATTGTGTTCATATGTGGCTAGAACAGGCCCCGATTTTGGGGAGGGCAAGCAGGGCAATTGCCCGGGGCGCCAGATCCCAGGGGGCGCCGGCAGGCGCCCACGTTTACACTAGATATAATCGAATTTTCCAGTGCTAAATAAAGTTAAATATTAATGACAAACAATCAATATTAAATAAAGTAAAAGTAAAGTTATTTATGGCTGATTTAATTTAATTTGACTTTTCCAGTTTATGTATAGTAACGATAATTTAAACCGGAATCTGTTAAGACGGGAACAAATTTGATTTGTATAATGCTCTCGGTGTTCAATGAGATAATTTTTCTGAGACCGATGGCAGCATTTTCTCGTTCATACTTTGCCCCTTTTGCGGGGTTGGAGGAGCTCATAATTTAAAAAAATAACCCAATCTGCGATTTCTGGCACACAGAGCGGTTTTCAAAATTTCATATTTTTTCCTACAACCGTTTCCGAGCGTTTCTTGAAACTCTCAACACGAATTTCACGACCTGAGACTAAAGTAGGGACAGGTCAAGGCTTGCATAACCCCACAGGTGGGTTACCGTTAGCAAGGTCAGGGGATTCAGAAAATATATACTTTATCTTTTGTGTGACGTCTTTCTGAAATTCCAAAAACAGAAGAATCTTTGAGTTCTGCCCGATCTAACGATGTCTTGTGTTTAACAACACAGCTTTGTTGTGTATCGAAGTGTTGAAAATTGGCGAAATCTTGAAATTTTTTTAGAATAAAATAAAACTCGGATCAAAATTTAGTAAAGCAGTTTTCGCCCAAAGGTGTCTCTGAAATTCTTAAACGAATTTCAAAAGTTTACACTTTTGATGTGTGAGTTTATCAAATTTTTTAAAATTCCACGAAATTTTTGCAGAAATCATCAAAACATTATACGAAACATTGCTGATAACGGAACTTTATGGTGGGGGGCCGTGCAGCTCCTTTGAAAGTGCCTTTTCCTCACTTTTCCCAGCGCCCTGGTCAATTTGGTTTTTACAAATCGAAACCCTGATTACAATTATTAATTTGTAACTTGTAATTAACCTAAATTTGTCCAGAAAAAAGAATTCATAATTTGTAATTGTAATTTGTCACTTGAAAGAAGCACCCAAAGGATATCTTACTGAGGTCTTTATCTGGTCCTAGTCGTCTTGACTAAGATGTCCTAATTTATAGTTATCATAAAGACATCATATAGATTACCGTATTAAGACGTCATATTAAGTTCATCCGAAAGACATCTGCATTACGATGTACATAAGATATTCTTAATTATGGTGTTCACAATTCACCCCGAGAAATGTCGCAAAATTTAACAGCACTAAATTTGTATGGAAGGAAAATTTTCTTGGCAATGAAATGCCGAAAGAAGCATGTAATTTGTCAAAGCGACAATTACGTCGCCGATTTAAAATAGCTGTCAACAATAATTTAGAACAAGTACAGAAAAAAGTTCCAGAAAAATCTGTTGTTACATCAATTGTGTTATTGACTACTCAGCCCAACAATTTAATTCCTGAGTCTGACGAAGAGCATAATAATTGCGACCCGTCTCCTTTGCCAATCGAAAGTGACAATGCAGTGAATAATAACTGTGATTCCTTAGAGTTTAGTGATCAGTTAAAACAGTGGTCCCTTCGACATTTGATAACACAATCTGCAGTCACTGGTTTACTTAAAATCTTAAAAACTCATGACTGCTTTAAATTACTGCCTTCAGACTCAAGGACATTATTGTCAACTAGGAGAAGTTTCATCAACCGTGAAGTGAATCCTGGAAAATATGTACATTTTGGATTGACGTCAGGACTTCAGAAATATATAGCAGTTTCAAATTTCATTGGAAATTCCATTAGTGTTTTTGTAAGTGTTGATGGAATTCCTGTATCAAAAAGTAGCAAAAGTGAATTTTGGCCAATTTTGTGCGCAGTCAATAATCTTAATTTCGTCTTCTGTGTTGGAATTTATCACGGATCGTCGAAGCCATTGGATCACAACGAATATTTATTTGACTTTGTCCAAGAGGCAAAATTTCTGTGTGAAAATGGAATTAAATTTGAAAATCGTCATATAAAATTCTCTATTAAAGGCTTCATTTGCGATGCTCCTGCCCGAGCATTGATAACATGCACAAAGTACCACTCTGGGTTTTCATCATGCAACAAATGCCATCAAGTTGGAGAAAGGTATCAAAATCGCCAAGTTTTTGACAACTTTATTAGTGTGAGGAGAGATGATGCAACATTCGGGAACCTGGATGACGATCACCACAGAGGGAACACTATTTTATCGGAATTAAGTGTAGGATTAGTGTCGCAGATTCCGTACGAATATATGCACTTAGTCTGCTTGGGAGTGGTTCGTAAAGTTTTGACTTTATGGATTAGTGGAAAACCCAAATATCTGAAATTAAGTGCTAATGAGACTATTAACATTTCAAAAAATCTGGAAAACCTACGTCCATTTTTTTGTAGTGATTTTAATCGTCGCCCTCGCACACTTGCAGAGTTACCTCGATGGAAGGCGACGGAATTTCGTCAATTTATTTTATACAGTTGCACCGTTGTTCTTAGAAAAATCCCACAACCATATCTAAATCATTTTATGAGTCTTCATTGTGCGATATTTATACTTTGCAGCGAATCACTTCTTCAAGACTTTGGAAAATATGCAGATAGTTTGTTAAAGTATTTTGTTAAACAATTTCCCCGTCTGTATGGAAAGGAGAATTTATCATATAACGTACATGGGCTGCTTCATGTCTATGATGATGTGCAAAATTTTGGAAATTTAGACGCATATAGTGCATTCTCTTTTGAAAATTATTTGGGTCAAATTAAGAAGTTGGTTCGGAGTGGAAATCTTCCATTGTCTCAAGTTTGTCGGAGACTCTCGGAGTACGAACACGCGGCGCGAATTGAGAAAGTCAGACCAGCCAATAAATTGCACACTGCCGGTCCACTCACATTTGGTGTTGAAAATCCATCATACAAAATTTATGTGATAAGTCACAATGTGTTTAAATTAAATAATAGTGATAAATACGCCGGTCTAAAGGATGGATCAATTATCTGTATAGACAATTTTGCGACATGCTGCATAAGTAAAAAAGTTCACGTTGTTGGTCGACCATTCACTAAACTTTGTCCTCTCTACCACGAACCTTGTGATTCAACATTATTAAAAATATTTAAAGTGTCAGTTCCTGGAAGAAGAAGTCATTGGTCATTGGATAATATTGATAAGAAATATTTGTTACTGCCGCAGGGTGTTGGTTTTGCAGCATTTCCACTAATTCATTCGTGAATAAAATGTCGCAGTACAGTGTTGTTCAGACACTTGGAAAAAATCCAGAAGTTTTTGTAATTCCCAGCTCGTGGATATTTACGGAAGACAGGGAGACGAAATGTTGGTGGCCAAAGTATCGAAGCGCTTCAAAAATTCAAGAAGCTGTTGTCAAAAATCAACTTCCAGGACCAGCATTAATTAAGCAATTGCGGATTCGAGCTTTCGCGTCATATAGTAAGGCTTCGTAATTAATTTGTGCTGGTCATTTGTCGTTATTAATGAAATTTAAAAATGTCAACTCTCACCCTGTTATTTAATTTCAGATTCATTTGAAGAGGCGAACAATAACGTTGATAAGGCGTGCGACACATCAAATTTGGAGAGTGACGATCAATCTGAACCATCAAGATCAATTGTTCCCGACGGTGAAATACCTCCGCCCCCAATACCATCTGGTTCGAAAGCTCCCCCTCGCCATGAATTAAGCAGTATCTCTCCGAAATTTACGTTGGCACCTGGATCTGGAGTGACTGTTACTCGAACAAACAATACTGGACCCATCAGAACAATTGATGCTGAAGAACTACCCTGTAATAGTTCGTTTTATGAGGCATATACTAATTTTACGAATCTGTTTATTTTTTGCAATATTTTCAGCCAGGAGTGCATCCCCTGTTCGTCGCCAAACATGTGTGGAAAGTAAAAATAGTATCAAATGCAATGGTAATTATTACTTCCTACTTATTACTAACTAATTTGATTTTTAATGCCATTTATTTATATTTATGAACCATTACTATTTGCAGATCCTTTTCAAGAATATGTTGTCAAATCTTTAACAAAAATTGAGCAAAACATTGAGGTCTTATGCGGTATTGTAACCAAACTAGCCTCAGCAAAGGAAACCGGAAATTTTGAAGAAGAGAATGAAGATCTTCGCCTTCGACTGCCTTGTATTTCAATTGCTGACGTCGACGCATTTGAAAAAGACTTGGACAACAAAGAGTTTCGCAAATATATGGTTGTCTATTTCTAAAATGATTGTTATAACAAATTTAATTAAATATTTGTTTGTGAATAGGTGGGTCGTCTGTCTAATCTGGATGGAGTCGAGTACAGGAAGTGCGTCACCAGCATAATGAGTTACGTTATGATCGACGAAGTTGCAGCATTATTTTGTTGGGAGGGCATACGGAAAGAAAACAGCAAAATTCCTTTCAAAAACTTGAAAACAAAACAATTGGTTTATGGTAATAAAAATTCATAAAACGTTTCACATCATTATAGTGCGCATGATTATGTTACTTATATAATAATTACCTGATTATTTTAGATGCGGTTAGATGCAACAGGTATTGCGCAAACGTTACCAACCTTGAGGTTAAGGTTAAAATGCAAAGCTGGTTGCAACACGCTCCTGATCGAATCAAGACCAAGGTATGCGGTCATGTGTTTTACAATTTAAGTACATTTCAAATTTATGGAATTAATTTAAATTCGCTCGTTTTACAGGCAAATTCTAAGAAAGCTAAAAGCGGGCAAGCTGAAGTGAACATGGAGAACAGAATTTCAGTTGTAGAAAATGATTTGTCCGATTAAATAATGCAACGATTTGATTTTGTTATTTATTTTAAATGAATTGTGAAGTAAATTTATGAATCGGAACAAATATGTATTGTATAATTTTATTTGAATATAAGGAACTAAATCCTGCGCAGCATCCCATCATTATTGCGATATCCAAATGACGTCAGTCAAAGACAACATTAGGTGGTCATTTTTCGGATGACTTTAAGATATCTAAAAAACGGACATTGGATAATCCTATAGACGTCATAAAGTCGTCTCATGTCCAAATCTGGACATCATCTGTGTTTTATAAATTTTGTGGACATCTCTTTGTTGTCATTATGATAACCGTAGGCCGCTTGGGCAACTAAAAAACTTGGATTACTTTCCAAATTATAAATCACACTAATCAAAGTACATAATTGCAATTTTGTAATTTGATTTTTGAGTGATTAGGCCAGGTCTAGTAAATCCATAGGCTTAGAATTTATTTTGGATTTTGAAAAATATTTAAGGAATGTGGGGATTCACGTCAACTTTGAATGTCGTAAACGTCGCTTCCCAATATATCTTCTCAAGTTTTCGATCTTTGCGAAGGGTTGTAATGCAACAACCAATCAGATTATTTTATTTTGTTACGAAATATGCGAAGAAAGGTGCATCTATTATCATCGTAAGCTAGTCTTCGCAAACTCCTCATCAAGTGCGATTTTCATTTCTCCTATCATCTTCAGTTTAAATATTTTCATGCAAAATAAGTCGTTCACGGTACATTTCGCAAACACCGAAAAGTTGCGAAGATGTGGTGAGAACCAATGATTTGAGTGATGTGAATAGCCACACTGTATTTTGTGTTTTGACAAAAAATAAACCGTTGCAAACTAAATGTAGCAAAGGGATGAAGCAACACGGTTACTCGGTCATGGCACGTCAAAATGATGTCAATTTTTGAAATCGCCGACCAAAATACGTGTAAAACGGTCAAGACAAAAAATTCTACATCACATCTTTGACCGTTGGCGTCATCACAGTGGCGTTATGGCCTTATGGCCTACAACGCCCATCATCGACATTCGTACTTAAAAAGTTAGAAACACATTGGCGAAAATCGAATGCCCATATTCGAATTCATTATAAAGTTTTCGTAGATACGGATGGACACACAGACCGAAAGACAAGACATTCCCATAAAGAGATTTCGCTTCGATTCACCCCTTAATAGTGCTAGTATTTATTGATTAATTTATTTTGGACTTTGAAATTCAAAGCCTGAAGTGCATTTCCGTTTTGTATTTTGAACGGTTTGTTTTGGACATCCCTGGAACAACCAACAATCTTGCTACTACCCTGCAAATTATGAAGCTACTAGCGTGTGAAATATGTGGGATAGAACAGTGTCAATGTCGTACAATTTATTCTAGGGCCCAAGGCATAAGAACTGATTATTAATTCACCCTAGCAGAGAGAATTAATTAATTTGTTAAGGTAATCATTGCGGCTGTTTCGCAAACGTGGGAAAGAAGATTTTCCTCATCTATTAGCCTGAGGAAAAGCGTAGCCTGCGAGCGCCGGAGGCGCGAGCGGCTAGGGGCGCTAAATTTCTTTGCCCCGGTAAGATTTTATCCCGTTCTAGCCGCTAGAACGGGATAAAATCCACAGCATGATTGTAAAAAGGTTTGGACACCAGAACATAGACAATTGAACACCGATCGGTAACCATGTTAACGCCGGTTAGGTGATTTGAATATAATTGAAGTTTTATTATCACGAGATGTACAATAATTTGCGCTTAACACTAGATAAGGGACTTAAAATTTTTACAAGTTAAGTAGCTTACTTGCCTAAGTTCGTGAGTCTATAACCCCTCCAAACTAATACTTTTAGAATCAAATTAAAATTTAACAACATCAAAAAAAACAAGCTCGCAGCTCAAAAGAACGGTTGCGTATCTTTATGTGCCTACATTTATGCTATCATAAAGGTGAGTACAATGGTTAGGCGGCAAAGTTAAGTTTATGGTTTATATGCAAATGAATGTTTTTGATTATAAGAGTTAGTTCGTAAATAAGTAAACACATTTGCTTATTTCACAAGATAATTACTAACGAATATTGGCCGGATGTGATACTGTAGTCCATTCAGTTTATGGGCACTTATGGATATATTTTCTATGGATTTTTTTTCAACTTATTGTAATACGAGAGATTAGGCCCGCAAATTGCGGGCTCCGAATCATTCATCTAGTAATTGTTGATGAAACCATCTCCCGTCAACCACCACACCCCCGGTTAATTCATACTTCCCGTCACCCCGCCCCCCGTTAACTCCTACTACCCGTCGACAACCACGCCCCCCGTTAACTCCTAATTCCCGTTGACAACCACGCCCCCCGTTAACTCCTACTACCCGTCGACAACCACGCCCCCCGTTAACTCCTAATTCCCGTTGACAACCACGCCCCCCGCTAACTCCTACTACCCGTCGACAACCACGCCCCCCGTTAACTCCTACTTCCCGTTGACAACCACGCCCCCCGTTAATTCCTACTACCCGTCCACAACCACGCCCCCCGTTAACTCCTACTTCCCGTTGACAACCACGCCCCCCGTTAATTCCTACTACCCGTCCACAACCACGCCCCTCGTTAACTCCTACTACCCGTCGACAACCACGCCCCCAGTTAAATCCTACTTCCCGTTGACAACCACGCCCCCCGTTAACTCCTACTTCCCGTCGACAAACACGCCCCCCCGTTAACTACTACTTCCCGTTGACAACCACGCCCCCCCTTAACTCCTACTTCCGTGGACAACCACGCCCCCAGTTAAATCCTGTTAACCTCGACACTCTCTGTGGCTTAAGCATTAAAAATCCATCCGAATTGATGTGCTGCATGTCGATCAGGAGATATTTGACCAATCGAAGTAGCCTACTTCAAGTAGGCCTCGTGAAGGGATTGGATGAAAATAGTGTAAAATTTACACTGTAAATCGAACAATGTCCAAAATGTTTCTAGATCGGAGATGGACTTGCGTCAATGTCATTATTTAGTGCAATTATAACGACTCAAATCTGCACAAATATTCCTGGGACGCGTACTCTTATCGGATTTACAAAGTCCTGCAAAATATTAATTTTGGATACAAACACAGGCTACTGCTTTTCACTATTCGTTAGCCGTCTACGATTATTTTTCCATCCTCGTAATTATGAAGTTCGAGGATGAACTAGAACTATGGAATTCTTGGGAACCCACACATCCTGGACCAATGCCCACAATTTTTCCAAACTTCAAAATATTACGGCTGAAAAAGACTGATGCGACGAAGTGTGCGCATTCCAAACTCTTTTCGGTTTTAAGAAAAGTAAATTTTATTTGTGGAAGGGTTAAAACAAGTCTGGAAATTATGTCTAAACCCATGCTCAAACTATTATCAAGCTTTGAACCTTGAATTTTAATGTTACAAACAACAAAAATACTGCAATTATGAAAGGAGTATTTTCGAAAATTCTAAATATGCGGGGAAATTTAACGTCAAGATTCCACGTGTCCTGTAAAAAGGATAAATACGATAACAAACAATTCAATTTTATTTCTTCAAACGATGGCCGCAGCCCATATCGCTACACGAATATTTATATACCGGGACATTGTAGGAGTTAATAAGAATATTTACATCATAATGATAGTCATACATTTATAAGAAATCGTCATGTTGGGAACAATATTTTAAAAAATCGTCATGTTAGGAATAATTTTTTAGCCCGAACGTTTGCGACACAGACCGGGAAAACCCGAAGGGAAAACCGCTGCCACCAGGTTTTAAAACCCTGGCCCATTTGGTTCACAACCGAAAGGTTCGAGGGTTTTGAAACATTCATAAAGAAATAAAATATATATTTTTTTTAAATCGGAGGAGTTTCGATAGGTGTTGTAGAGGTCGGTAAAGGATTGGGTAGCCATTGAAACATAATTGTTGAGGTACTTTTATACGATAACAAACCCTTCTTTCTAGAGGGAGATTAAGAATCAATATATTTAAATTATGAACAGTACAAGGTTCCACTGAAAACAATTCATTATACGTACAAATCGTTCAACTATATTTCCTGCTACAAGGATCAGGCCATGGTTTATTCGATGTACCTGGAAACGATGGATCTGTCGTCGTGAATCCTTCTGTTCAGTTTTCTCTAGGGAGTCTCAATTATGAGCGATTTGTTCGTGAGCCATATCATACTAAGTGTACCAGAATACCAATTTCCATATTCAGCGTGAAACTCGGATTCTCGTGTATCCACCACCACCAGAATCTGTGTTTACGACAGCGCCGTATGTGTCGCACTTTGACATGCAGGATTAAATTAATTCTGGGCTTATAAAAACATGATAGCCTTTTACTGTTATCATGATTTTTTCATATAAATCTTTAATTTGGGGCGATTTGAATCTGCATTAGTGACAAAATGTGTGCTACGGCACTTGCTATATAAGATGGCCCCCGCAGCAACTTTGACCCCAAAAAAGTCAATGTCCCCACACTTTCACTCCAGACAAGTAAAGCTGAAAATATAGATCTTTTCAAGGAGAAAAATCTGGCATCAGGTTGTCAGAAGTGAAAGTGTTGGGACATTGACTTTTTTGGCGATTTATGTGTCGATAAAAAAAGCGCGAATTTTCGAATTTTGAAACTCTTGATGCATCAAAATCTTCGTATTCATGGGGGGATTGAAATGTCAAATGCAACCTGTGGTCTAATTCTTCGTGTCTCGAGTGTACATGCAAAAAATATGCAAGAGTGATCTTTGCCCCCTAAAGTTGATTTGCAATTTTTTAAATCAAATTCGGTGATTTCGACGCGACGGAAATTGGTTCAAATGGCATGATTTCCCTCTCGTAAGATTTCACTTGAAGTTTAAGTTAGCTCCTAGCTCGTTTCTTTTCTTTCTTGGATCAATCATTGAAGAACCTCCAAATTCTGAGGTTGGGCGCAACCCGCATTTTAGACTCGCCTCAATCTGGTGGCTCCTCGCCTCCATAGT